CACGCCTGGCCCATCACCTCCTCCACCTCCACCTCCACCTCCACCTCGCTCCGGCGAGTTAAAAGGTTCCAGACTTTCACTTATTTAACGCTCCAGTGAGCCCGATAGAGAAGTGCTTCTCTGAGAGCGGCGCCGGTCTAAAGGTTTAATCGGCCGTCGCGTCGGACGCATTAGGACTCGCTGTCATCAGAACCACACCTCTGTCGCCTCCTCTCCACCTCCTGGTTGTTCCCGTGACTTTCCGACAGCTTGTTCAGTGTCCGTGTGTCCGGGTCGACCTCTCAGAGGAATCCAGAGGAAACACAAACTCATTCAGTCGCTTTGCTCGCTTTAAAACGAAGCTATGCTTCATGTTCTCTCAAGTAAACTGGCTGCTTCATGTCCACACCTTTGTCTAGAGGCTCAGATAACTACAACACGTTCTTATATTTCTAATTCGTTATTAAAACGACGCTTTGAGTGTTTAAATGAGCTGCAGCTGAATAAATAGAGTTTTACCTCAAGTTCATGTAAAACTAGGATTTCACATAAAGTAAAGTAAAAGTTTTTCAGCCTCCAGCAGAAGCTTCTGATGAGTCGGTCCTTCTGGAAGCAGGCTGGACTCACAAACCTCCAGCTGTGCTGTTTAACCCGCTGCTGCTCTCTGGGAGAGTTCAAACCAAAGCAGGAGGCAGAAGTGAACCCGCTGCAGCAGCTGCTTGGACCAAGGTGTGTGAAGCAGACCTTCTTTTAAATATATGGAATAATTTCCACTTCAAACAAAGCGCCCTCTGAACCTCCGAGTCACCGAGTGGAGGAAACGTTGATGGTTTTACGGATATCTGCTGCGAGTCGGTGTCTGAAGTGGAGCTGAACTGCACCTGATGTCTAAACGGGATCCACCGTAGACGGCCTCATATCAGTCCTGATCCACAGGCCGATTCTTTGATGAACACACTGTCTTTCAGTTGGACTGAGGGTTCAACGAATCTGCCCTTGAGCAAGGCACTGAAGCCTGTTTTGCTCCAGTGCAGGTCCTCTTTCTTTACCCTGACCTCCCAGGAGACGGACGGCCTCTAGTGGAAGGATTCACTTTTGGTTTTCATGTCAGGATGATGATCACCTTCCAAATCAAAATCTACATTTTTGAAAAAAAAAGTTTTATTAATCTTCCCATTTTCAAAATTTTTCAGTTTTCAGGTTGTCCATCCGTCCATCTGTCCGTCCCATATGTGAGAACATCCTGTTTCTCAAACGCCTTGAGGAAAAGTTCTGATCCTGTTGAGCTGAAGGATGAACCGAGGCTCAGAGGTCAGGGGTCAGAGGTCAAAGGCCAGAGGTCATCAAAGGTCAGATGCCAGAGGTCAGAGGTCAAAGCACCATTTATGGAGATGTTCTGCACACGTATGCAAAAGAACAAAGTGATGAAATGTTGACATTTACATCCAAAAGGTTAAAGGTCAGCTGCACGGTGAGGCCACGATGTTCTGCAGAAACACGGTCCTGCAGGTTATTAACGCCACGACTCAGAGACAGACTGAAACCTGCAGCTTTACAGAGCTTTATAAATGTACTAGACCTCCATCTAATGTCAGGCTTATGCCCTAAATTAACAGCATTGGTAATCACCACAATCATCTGTCATGTCTCTGTAACGGTTCATACACCAGCATGTAGAAGATCTTTAACGAGAATGATGTTTTTAATGCTAAAATATAATTATTATTGTTGTTATCCAGGAATTTCCTAATTTACTGTTTTACAAAAAAAACAAACAAAAAAAACAGATAAAATAGTAAAGCTCATTATTATTATGTCTTGATTCAGATGTCAGATTATTTACTCACATTTCTGAGCAGAAACATTAGTGTTAGTGGTTGAATGTGATGCTGGATTGAAGAAGGTGAATTATTTTCTCACCGTCTGACATTAAATCAGACCAAACATTTCCAGTTTCAGCTCAGTCAGGATCACCAACATTATGTCTATTTGCTAAACGCCAGAATAATGAGAGGATTTTTTAGAGATTTATTTTATTACCTAAGCGTTGTACAACAAATAGAAACTATAAAGGTGGATGCATGCACCGTACGTCAGATGTAAACAACCTCTGAGCTTCACTGCCGCTAAACGTAACCGGATGAAGTGAAAATCTATCTACAGTCTGCTTTAAATAATTTTTAGGGATGGAGCTATAAAGAAAGATGGAAGGGTTGGGTTGGGTTGGAGCAGCAGACTGAGACACCAGAACACGGCCACATCAAGAGGAGAGCGCAGCGGGGCAGGCGGAACCAAAGGTCTGCTCCACCGGGGGAGTCATTAAGGCGTCGCGCAAGGCACACGGGGGAGCGAAAGGGCAGAGAGAAGAGCTCATTACCCATAATGTAGAAGAGAAGGAGCTCTCCTCGTCCAACACACCGTGGAAAACACTCACAACATTATTCAGAACCATTCAGCTGAGTGGACGTAAACA